CTTGTTTTTATGGCTTTTCGTGTTTTCAGTGTTATAACCTCGGGGGTGCTATTACACATCTTCTGAACGAGGACTAAACCTTCCGAACAAAAACACACGTGAACAGGACGGAGAAACGAGCGATCTCTTAAGTAAACAGATGCATATGAAAAATAATGCGATCATCAGCAATAGACAGCATATAAATGAAAACTGCATAATGTTACAGAGTAAAATGTTGATCCAGGAAGTGGTATATGTCTGAGCAAGCTTTGGAGGTATTGATGGAAGCGATTTATGCTTTGATAATTGTACTGAATATTATCCAGATGTAGTTTTTGAAGAAAATTCGATTTTCTCACCTTTTTGCTCAAAATTATGCATTTTTTTATGAAACCTACCTATATTCAAGTGTTGATAAAAAAAAGAATGCTTTAAGCTAGAATTAAACAGATTTTTTTGTTTGTTTAAAAGTAGAGGCTCTGATCTTTATTTTGGTGTATTGCATTTTCAAATATTCATACAGCAAAAAATACTGGAGGCCATCAAATCTGAGTGAAAATCATCAAAATCGCTGGCGGTGGCTGGCAACTTTTTTCAGAAATGCTGGCGGGGAAAGAGTTAAAGGCATTAAAAATGCTATCATTGTGTTAAAATACTTAGTTTTGTCTAATTATTTTCGTTGAGATTTTTTTTAACACTACAGTAAAAGAATTTGAATGAAATCAAAGTGTTAAAACAGTTTTGTCTAATTATTTACGTAAAAAAATGAGAATAAGAATTCGAAGGGAATCAGTAAAATGCGAATTTAATTAATTTGTTAAAATATGACTCCATGTGTGTACATACGGTTTGATCAGTTGTTTTCTTCATTGTGTCAGTGTGTCTAAGCAGCAGGCCATCATGCCCGGTCAGTCCTATGAGCTGGAAGACGGGACCAGCAGCTTCAAAGACTTTCACGGGAGCAGAAATAACCGTTTCTCCTCTCCAGAGCAGGCAGCAAAGAACCGCATTCAGCATCCCAGCAACGTCCTACACTTCTTCAACGCAGCACCCGAGGCTTCACCAGACTCCTTTACCAGGGTCAGTTCACATTACAGGAAGTCAGGACCTTTCTTGTCACATAATGTTATTCGATGTGTACATTTACAACCTTCATCTGTTTTCAGGTCTGTGAAGAACTTGGGGTAAAGAGCCCTTCCAATGTCAAACTTTTTGCAGCTAAAGGTGTGTGAAAACGTACTGTCTTTAACTGATGTGTGGTAAATAACGGCATAGAAAGCCAAACTCAGCATGAAATAATTTAAAGTGTGCCCTATTAACTGGTAATGTCATCCATACTCCTTCATTATTGTAATGTGTCCAGTGCCTCTTTTTCTTTAATGAATAGGTTCCACATCAGAGAGGAGTTCGTCAGGGCTTCTGGACTGGGAGTCTGTTAATGACGCCATGGAAGCTCTTGCTATGATGAACCATTACCAGATGAAAAACCCCAGTAAGTGACTTCATCATCTGTTTTAGATTTTGTTGACATTAATTGGTTGTGTCAGGGTTTCCAACAAAATTAAAGTGAATTTAATAAATAAAAAGGTATGCATGTATGTATTTGGCTGCTAGGGGTGGGCAATATGACCCAAATTTTGCTAGTTAAATTTCATGGTATGAGAAATTGATATCACTGTAACTATATATATATATATATATTAGTTATTTTAATTTTGTCATTAAAAATAAGAACAAAAGCAATTTACAAATACAATAGAACAAAGATACTAATGAAACATTTTTCAGATACAGTAGGTTTTATTCAGTGTGATGTAAGAAATAATATAGAAGTTGAATAATCAAGTGTAAACCTAAAACGCTGTATAGTCTTCACTGTATGAATCACATATAAATTGATTCTTATTAAAGATACAAATTTAGTCGAGCAGTGAGTGATTTTTCTCGTTTTTTTGTTGTTTGATTAATATTCATGACACAGACAGCAGCATTTAAATTAGGCTGCTGTCCCTTTTAAGACCGAATGCACCGATCCAATATACAGAGAAATGTTTTTTACCCAGCTGTTTACTTTTACTTAAGACATAACCTACTGTGTTCACGTGAAGACTGCACATTTTGACATCTGTGTCTATTTGCCCGTTCAAACACAATAAGCTGCAAAAGAGAACTGAATTCGTGATGGCGTGATGTCAAATACGCCATTTTACTGGACAGTTGTAATTTGCAACAGTAATGTGTATATCTCTGTTCTTACTTTTCCCAGCGCACACAGCTTTAATGCTAGAAAATGTGGACTTATCCTTTGCTTTTCTGTTTCTCTCTGCAGGTGGCCCATACCCATATACACTCAAGCTGTGCTTCTCTACTGCACAGCATGCAAACTGAACAGCATCATCGTCATCGCTCACCCCATCACTTCACCTTCCTGATACTTTATTGTCCTTAATGGCTCATTTGTGTGAGTGGGTGTGCAGACGTGTTGAGTTAATCTTATGTTGATTGAGCCGCAACCCAAGCTGAGAGTAAAACTGACTGAACTCATTGCTTTTAAAGGAAGAGGAGAGTTGAAACGCTTTTGTACCAGTATTTTGGTTTTGTTACTGTTTTGTTCTTTTTTTTTTTGCTTACAATGATTGACTGTTAGCTGTGGGCTCAGCACCTCACTTTTAGAAATGTCACTCTGTAAAGACGATTGCATTTTTTTTTGGACTAAAATAAAAATAGTGATAATGGGTCTCTGTTGTTATTGCTTTTGCAATGTAGCAATTGTGACTCGTGTTTTACAGCAGTTTAAACTTTCTTTCAAAAGCTGCCTGGATGTTAGTGCCCAGTGTATATTTGGAATCTAGAAAATAAAATGTAATCAGTTTAATAAAGAAATAATCTGCGTATTCAAAAATGGCTGTTGCCGCTTGCTGAGAGCATATACCAAGAGTCAAGGAAGTATTAGACCGTTTTAAAATTGTGATTTCCAGGCTTAGAAAATTCAAAAATGTAACTGATATTTCTATAGTCAAGGTAAATTAAATCTGTGCAAGGCCTAGAAACCCAAATAATCCAATGAGATGCTTTTAAATCAAATGAATAAGTTATACAGTAATAAAGAAGGTCATGGAAGTTTCTCATGATCGTTAAATCACGATGCAGACAAAACTATGATGGGCTGATGTCTAGCCAATTGCAGGGGTCATAACATGAAAAGTCAGATTTTAATAACAGCGCACTATAAAATTAGAAAAAAATTCTATACTGTGCCGTTTTATATATTCGTGTCTGTGAATATAATTTGTGTACTCGCAAAATAATACTAAAAGTTAAAAAGCTTCAGTCACAGTTAAGTAAAGGAAGAAACCGAATAAGTGATATTAGTACTAAACAAGAATTATGTATTATATGATTGTACATATAGATTTTTCACATTTTAAAATCCCTCTGCCTTGTGCTTCTTAAAATGTAATAGCAAGTAAATTACGAGCAGAACACTATCATTTTGCATTTCATTGTTGAAAATATCGTATACGAACTATAAAATTAGTATTAAAAATATAATAGTAATAGTAAGTTTTATTTAAAGGTGCAGTGTGTAAATTTGAGCGGCATCTAGCGGTCAGATTGCGAATTGCAACCAATGCCCACCCCTCCTTTTAGAGAAGCTACGGTGGCCGATACAGGACTCGTCGGTAAAGAGCAGAGAGCAATGAGATTTCTTTACTAAGGTAAATTAATGTATTATATTTACTTCATTATTTAATAAATCGATGTTATTGCGAATATGAATGTACTTGTTCGTCATTGTGTCAGTGTTTTATTCACAAGAACAACAAAGTGACGAAACGCGCTGTGTAGAGCAGTTTGTCCGTTTAGGGCTACTGTAGAAACATGGCGGCGACTTCCATGTAAGGGGACCCGCGGTGTATGTAGATATAAATTGCTCAATCTAAGGTAATAAAAACATAACGGTTCATTAACTCTTTATACACCTCTGAAAACATAGTTGTGTATATTATATCGCGATGTAAATATTACACATTGCACCTTTAAGTGAAGATAAACGGCATATTCCGGAAGTACAGCATGCGCATGAGCGGATGTCAAACGTTATGATGTAATACGCGAGAAAGTTCCCCGGATTATAAATACAGTGCGGAGGTCAGTAGCGCACTGACAGGATAGTACTATTAAAACTACAGAAGTTTTTGCGAGTCTCGGATCTTTTTCTGGAGTTAGTCATAAAAAAGCAAGATGCCAAGAGGAAGCCGAAGCAGAAGTTCGAGGATGAGTCCTCCAAGGTGCGTTAAGACTGATTATCATGCGCTGTGTGGCAGTGCTAGTCACGCGGCAGTTACGTTAACGTGCTTAACCAACCGTTGAAATCAGGAACAAACTTCTTTACCAACACTGACGGCTACAGCTTCAGAAGACAGAGTCTGTTACTGTCTCTTTAAGCGTGTTAGTTATCAGCAATAGTGATGGTGATTGTAGAGGACATACATAGCCTACATTTACACGAACATGAGTGTGTATAGGCGGCTCTGGATAATATTTGTTTACAATATCAAATCTAATACAATCTGTAACACTGTTAATTATTCTCTGCTCTGAAATGTTTCTTTAAGCAGTATTCGGTGTAAAACAGACGCGTACTTGCAAGCGAAAGCTTGGGCTTTGTGTAGAAATGCACTGTTTTATAATTCTAGAATTCTTTGAAAGTGTATTAAATTATTTTAGTTTGAATTTTTTTTATTTGTAAAACTTCCAGGCTTTAGTTACATTTAGAAAAAATTATTCAGGCTTTCAAATATTAATATTGAACATTAGATGAGAAGAAAATTGTATCTAAAAAAAAAAAAGAAATTAACAGGCATCAGTAAATATTTATTAATTGTTGAGTAATAAATGTACAATATCTACTGACAAATAAAAAAAATCAATAATAATATTTCATCGAAAACCTATACTGTACCCATATGTGACCCTGGACCACAAAACCTTAAAAAGTCTTGCCGTCAATTTTTCGAAACTGAGATTTATACATAAGCTGAATAAATAAGCTTTCATTGATGTATGGTTTGTTAGGATCAGACAATATTTGGTCGAGATACAACTATCTGGAATCTGAGGGTGCAAAAAAATCTAAATATTGAGAAAATCATCTTTAAAGTTGTCCAAATGAAGTTCTTGGCAATGCATATTACTAATCAAAAATGAAGTTTTAATATATTTACAGTTGGACATTTACAAAATATCTTCACGGAACATCATCTTTACTTAATATCCTAATGATTTTTGTCATAAAAGAAAAATCGATAATTTTGACCCATACAGTGTATTGTTGGCTATTGCTACAAATATACCCCAGCGACTTAAGACTGCTTTTGTGCTCCAGGTTCACATGTGTATTGTGTATCAGTCACTATTTGTCCTGTATAGCAACCACCTAGAACACCCTAGCAACCATATAGGAACAACAGTCATAAAAAAACCATCAAAATCTGTCATGGAAATTCATTAGCGTGTGAACCTTGTATTAAGAGATCTTACTGTACAGGTAGATGATGGTGTGTTTTCACTCTAGTTACTCCTCCCCATCACCTCCACCAATGGCTAGAGCAGCTCCTCCACGCTCATACGCCCCAGCGCCCGCGTCTCCTCCACCATCGGCGGTGGCGGCTCCTGCTGCTGCTCCCCGTCAGCCGGGGATGTTCGCTCAGATGGCCTCCACCGCGGCGGGCGTTGCGGTCGGCTCTGCTGTCGGACACACGATAGGTCACGCTATGACCGGCGGCTTCAGCGGAGGTGGACACTCAGAGGCTGCCAGGCCTGATGTCACCTATCAGGTAAACACAAAGCCAAACTACCTGTTTGAATAGTTACGCTCAGCTCTCCCTTGAGAAAAGGTCGTACACTATTGCAACTTGTCACAGAAATAATGTACTTTAGAACTGCAAACTGATGTTTTTGGACACTTCATTGTTTTAATTAGCATTTTAAAAGTAGGATTTAGGTACTTCTTCATATGTCATTACACAATTCCTTCTATTGTCTTCTATGGAGATATTGTACTGCTAAATGTACTGACAAGCATTTAAGGTAAAGTATACTTTAATGTCATTTCTATTGACCTACAGAAGGTTCAAACGCTCACTCATGCTCCAGAAGGAAAAAAACGATGCATTAAGGGCCAGGGGGTGTAAACTTTTGAACAGAATGAAGATGTGTACATTATCATTTTCCCTAAATATCAGTTTTATCATTTTTTTTATTTAGTACTGCCCTTCAGAAGTTACAGAAGATACTTGCATGTTTCCCAGACAAAATAAGTTAAATTTACCCTGATCTTCAAAGCTCTTAATGCATGATTTTTCCTTCTGAAGCATCAGTGAGCGCTTGAACCTTCTGTAAAAGTTGCATACGAGTCCCTCGGCTGTCCTCAGTGTGAAAAGATGGATCTCAAAATCATACAGTCATTGTTGGAAAGGGTTCAAATACACTAAAATGCTGGAAAATCAAAGAATTTGTGAGACTTGAAGGATTTTTCTGAAGAACAGCAGGCAGTTTAACGGTTCAGGACAAACAAGGGACTCATGAACAACTATCACTAAACAAAAAAAGTACAGCTGTGGGTCGTTCAGGTAACAACACAGTTTTAAGAATCTTTTGAATGGGTTCATTTTTATAAATGTAACTATTATTTTCTCTTGTGGACTATATGTAAACATCTTTTATGTGAAATAACTTATTCAGGTCAGTACTAAATAAACAATAACATGCATTTTGTATGATCTTATTTTGGTAAAATTAACATTTTGCCGATTTGAGTTCAATTGTATGTCGTATCTAAATATATTTGAAGTTTAGTACATTTCAGATATGTTAACTGAAAAAGTAATAACGTTAGTTACAATTATTAGCTTAGTATGTTGTTGGTCAACAAATCAAAATAAGTGTATGACATGAAATGTAATGTAAATTGTAATTACAAAGTTTTTTTATGTGCACTTTTTAAAGCTGTACTTAAGTGTGTTAGTCTCTCTTTAACAGGATAGTTCACCCAAAAATGTAAATGTGATGTTTATCTGCTTAGGGCATCCAAGATGTAGGTGACTTAGTTTCTTCAGTAGAACACAAACAAAGATTTTTAAGTCAAACCGTTGCAGTCTGTCAGTCTTATAATGGAAGTGAATGGGAATCACGGCTTTGACATGAAACATACACAAACAAAACCAAATTAAACCCTGCGGCTCGTGACGATACATTAATGTGTGAAGACACGAAATGATCGGTCTGTGCAAGAAACTGAACAGTATTTATATCGTTTTTTACCTCTGATTCACCGCAATGTCCGAACTGTCCTGAGGGACCAAAAAGCTACGCTCAAACACACCGCACAGTCTACAGCCGACGGCAAACTAACACGTGCGTTCTGCGCATGCGTGAGAGGAATTAACTGTCTATATCAGCAGCTATCAATAGTATATATTCGGCATTCAAAAGGAGAAACCGAAACAAAGATATACAAGATAAACGCAGATATACGAAACGTAAACAAAGCAGCGCTTGCTTACCATTTTGAATATCAGTAACGTTGATAACTTTGAATATCAGTAACGTTGATAACTTTAATCATTTTAAGCGGCTCATGTTGTTATGAAAACATTCATGTATTAGAATGATTGGGAAAGATCACGTAACATTTAAACAGCCTTCTGTCTGTACCGCCTTCATTTACTTGCT